CTCTTTCAAGCTATTACAAACTGAAAACCCACCCAGTGATGGAATGACATAAGTAGAACCAGTGAGTGTGCGAGCTCTAACAAATCCAAGTGGCCACTGTGGGTGTGTGTAAAACTTACTTTGTCTAAATGGTATAATTATATTTAATTAACATGAAAAAATAAACTTAGTCTTTTCCCAAGTGAGGAACATAACTAACTCTAGTTAATTAATTCAAATAGCAGGGAGCAGGAGTCACTCTGTGAATGTTCTTATGTTTGGGGAAAAAAGGTATTTAAAAGTGTGGTTTGATTTTACCATGTCATTTTATTGTCACCTGTACTGTCTGTGTCTTTTTCAGAGGTATGTGACGCCCTGAATGTGACAGTGACCCCTGGGCCTGTTATCACGGTAGCAGAAAAAGACAACCTGACACTGTCCTGCCTGGTTTCTCAGAGGAAGAGAAGCAGCAGTGTCCTCATTCTTCGCTGGTTCTTCTCTCCCCTTGCTGCTCCCACTCTCACACCTCCTCCTCCCCCTCCATCCCCCATTTCACCTCCATATGGGCCCTCTCAGGTCCTTATTGGGAAGATTGGTATGAAAAAAATGAAGCTGTATGGGAATTACACCCGTCGTTTCCCCCAGCCAAAGTTTCGCCTGTATGAGGAAACGGAGGGGAAGGACTACCGATTACGGGTTCTCAATGTTACAGGGATGGACCAGGGTTTCTACAGCTGCAGAGTTCAGGAGATCCACAAACACAGAAACACATGGAAAGCCTCATCCAATGGTACCAGCACCACACAGCTGACAGGTAACTAACGGTGTATTTATCACATTATCTGTGGACAAATCCAGGGCCCCATTTTGGCTATATTTGGTATTTTGGCTATATTTCTTTTTAAAATTAAACTCATTAGCAAAGTGGACAGGGGTGAGAGATCCTTTCTCAGCAAGCATCCTCCCTGCAGGAGTCTTTGAGCAATGTTAAAGCTCTACAGCATTGTTCCCTGGTGGAGGGCAAGCCAAACCCGAAGCAGCCATCAGGAGCCTTTACCTTTTGTCAGTGATATAACTTTTACTTAATTCACTTGGTGAGTAAGAAAAATTCTCTTATCATGTCATACACCACTGGCTTTTAATCTAGAACATTTCTACCTAAAAATTAAATGTTTTTGTGCAACCCTGGTCACTGACAAGATTGGATCAACTACAAAGAAGATTTACTTTGAAAATGTTTCCCATGGGAAACTCCTTTCCAAGGAATTCCCTTACAGCTGCACACATTTAGCTGAGGTATGCTGTCCATGTTATCTGTCAATGGAACTAACCAAATAAATAAAGAGTGACTATTTTTAATTATTAAAGGGCAACGGGCAAATAGAAATGTAGAAATTTATTTTCTAACTCTAGCTGCGCTATCCTCTGTTAGTAGTGCCTGAGCGTGTTTTAGCGTGACCCCCAATCCTCTGGCATTTCCATCTCAAAACAGTGAGCTCACACAGTTAAACCACACTCAACATCACTCTCTGTGTATGAGTGTGAGGAGTAAAGAGTGTCGCTGAGTTGGCTACGTTCAAAAAGTCTAACATACATGATGTCAGCATTCTGGGTTTACTTTTATACGAGCCTCAGGAGAAGGTTTAATGGAGAATTCAGTTTCAGTGGAAGTTATTTAGTCTGTACCATGGTTCCTGTAGAAACCATCAATAAACAACCTGAACAAATCTGGTTAAGAACTACTTTAAATCATGTGCAGCAATAAATATATCTTTATACAATACAATCTTAAATCTGATTTCATTAGAGTCATCACTGTGGGATGCAATGAATAGTGGTTCGATATAAATTTAAGATGATGCTATATCAAGCACTAGGTGAGGTTTCACCTGAGCCAGCTGCACAGTTTACTTTTCATTACGTTTATGCCAAAACAGCATAGAGGTTTGAGTCAGACGGAGCAGTCGGACAACGCCCTGCCCTACATTCAGGGCACTAACCCGCTAAGGAAACCACACACCTCAGGCATCTCTGAAATGCATGACCACAGAACCAGAAACACAAGAACTGACGTTATGAGGGTAAATAAAGATAAAACTAAGGTGTAATGTAACTACTGTATAATTTGGGGGAACCCCTCAGTCTGCAGGATTCAGTTTGCAGATCTCAGTCTAAAAAATACTTGATGGTTTTTGGTTCTTTATGAAAACCTGTGCAATAGTATTTAATTTGGTGTCAAGGAACCAGGAGTGAATGAGATTTGCCCTGAACGGCTGAAGGCTCTGGACACAGGCTGTCTTGGTTGATATACCTCTTCAGTGTCGCATAGAGGATGGGCACAGTGCCTGAGAACTTGCAGACTGGTGTGGTGGTTCCCATTTTTAATTATAGGGGTATCACACTACTCAGCCTCCCTGGGAAAGCATATGCCAGGGTGCTGGAAAGGAGACCCCGACCGACTGTCAAACCTCTGATTCAGGAGGCACAATGCAGATTTTGTCCTGGTCTTGGAACAGTGGACCAACTCTTTATTCTTGGAAGGTTACTGGAGGGATCTTGGGAGTTTACCCATCCAGTCTACATGTGCTTTGTGGACTCAGAGAAGGCCTAGGAGAGGGTCCCTCATGGGATTTTGTGGGAGGTACTTCGGGAGGATGGGAGAGCTAGCACCTCCAAATCTGAGGCCATGGTGCTCTGCTGGAAAATGGTGGACTGTTCCCTCTGGGTTGGGAGGGAGTTGCTGCCCCAAGTGAAAGAGTTTAAATATCTTGTGGTCTTGTTCATGAGTGAGGGTAAAATTGAGCATGACATTGACAGGTGAACAGGGGCAGCATCAGCAGTAATATGGACATTGTACCAGAAGGAGCTGAGCCGAACTTTACAATCTTTTTTACTACACTGATATTACTCTGTCTTTTGTAGTGAACAGCAGGTGAAGAAAATGCAATTTAATTTGCTGTCTAATAAAACATCACAAACTGGCCATCTATAATTAGTGTAGCATTGAATTAACACCTTTATGAGTCAACAAAATTGTACATTTAATATTTAGAAAAACGCTGTATTGCAGTGTTTTAATATTGCATTGCATTGTTGTAAACCCTGCCAGTTATGTCTATAATCAAACTTGGTTAAGTCTTGTTTCTTGGTCACAATACATAATTTAGAAAAAGCTGATGTGTGAACAACATTTACTGTAATTAAACAATTGCAGCAGTATCGTGTAATGCTACCTAACATGTATCTTCTCCTATCTGTAAAGCTGATTACTGTTACATCTGATTCAGTCATGGTTATGGTTTATACTTTTTGCTCACAACCCAAAAGTCATTGCATTGTTCCCTGACATTATTTAACTTGATATTCTGACTAATCAGCCAAGACAGAGACAAAGTAATTTATGTACATACTTCCTGTTCATTCTCCTTGCTAAATCTCCCTGACACAACTCATCATTTATTTGCATATACTGACAGCGACTTTGATACTCGTACTCTTTTCTCACTGGTAAGTGCACAGAGAAATGACCAAAAAAAAAAGTGTAGATGCGGCACAATGGGGAAACCCCCAAACACTGTCCAAAAAACACAATTTGTGTGGCTGTTGCAGACTCTCCCTTCAAGACACTGGTTTTGATATTTCTGGAGACCGCTGGAACTGTCTGCTGTCCTGGACTAGTGCCATCAGACAACAGCAACTTGCTTTTTTTTTTTTTTCTTTTTTCCTGGGCACAGTTTTCTATCCTCAATGTGTTATTTTGCTATTTTGTTTTTCCAGTGCACTTTACTCTTGATGATGCTAGCAGTGAAGGACTGTGGCATTTATTTGCAGGTACTGTTTTCATCTCTGGCCCTATTCTCTTTCACTTTACCATATACAGTTTTCATCATTTCGCTGTTCTGATACATTTTTCTGAGGTTTGTCTCTATTTTGTAGACATGTATCTGTGCGCTGTGGTCATCTGTTCACTGGGCCTGTTGTCCATTTTCCTATTCACTCTGGTTCTCACTTGCCAGTACTTTCATAGAAGACACAGGCTCAAAGGTAAAACTTTAATTTGTTTTCCAACAATAACCTGACATTTATAACTTTATGTTTCCTATTCAGTGACTTTGGATGACCTTGCTATTAAGTCAACATACTGTTTTTAATCTTTCTCTTTCCACAGTCAGTTACCTTTTGGTGAAGTGTCCAGAAAGCAGGTACAGTATGTTCTTGACTGAAAATAGCAATGAAACAAAAAATGCCAAACATTTGCCGTTTCAAGTTCCTCAAATAAAAGAATTTTATATTTTTCTTGTATTTATATTACTGTCACCTGAATATCTTTTATTTTGTGAACAGCTGGTCAGGGGGGAAAAGGGGTATTTGGCAATGTCACCCTGGAATTTAAAAACTTTTAACAAAATAATTAGCTAATGAATACCGGTTTGCCAAAGCCCAGATCCAAATGATTAATTTATCATTAAAAAAACTGTTACTTACAGCCTAGTGAAAACAATCTCCTCTGCTCCATACAGCTCAGGAGAGACGGTGACTAGCTCCAACAGTTTGTCCAGTTGCTCACCAAAGGCACAAAGGAAAGATACAAGACAAAAAACTGACAGAAGAGTAACAGTAACACCACCGAAACTACCAGAAGAACCACCACCGCACATACAAGCCAAAGGTATTCTGACAAAATTTGAATTCTTCAAAAATAAACCATCAGGTTAGTGATCCCCAACCCTTTTATGTGGAAGCTCCTCATCACAGGTAATAAGTTAAGAGCAGCCCTTGTCTTTCTGTGTGGAGTTTGATCATCTTCTCAAATTCCAAATACTCTCAAGGCATAACAGTCTCAAGGGGCTGAGAGAGGCTCCAGCTCCCTGTGACAGTACGAAAAGGAATTAATGGGTAAAGAAAACAACAGTAAATTAAGGTATCCAGCAAATATAAAAACTGAAAATGTTATAGTACTGCTAACATTATATAATTTCCATGGAAATAATGACAAAAAGACTGAGAATGAAACTTTATATTTATTTGGGTAAAATCCTGCTGAGTGCATTTTCTCCAGTAAAACAACACCGACTCTGAAAATGGCATGGCATGGAACTAAACTCTTATTTTTGTACTTGACTACACCTGGACTTGTTTAAATATAATGTAGCTGTGAAGGATGATTTTGACATCAACTACACAGATGTATTTGTGCATTTATTCCTTCTGGTTGTTGCTTTGTGCCAGTTAAGGGTGTCTCTGTTTTTCAGTGCCTGTCAGTGCAAAGAGACCTAGGAAGCCCAGAAGGTTAAAGACTCAGTTGAGATCTGCTGCTGTAAGTCACCCATGGGTCAATCACCCATACAAGCTCAGTTATTCTGATATATCCTGCTATTTATAAGATATGCAGTCAATATATCTGTTAAAAATATAGTCATCAAGATCTGGAAAATAATTTTTCTCATGCACAGAGTTGTTATTGAGATACATGCAAGAGGGGATTTATCTAATAACTGCATGATTGTCTACAGGAGTTTATTGTCATCTATTCATTCAGTTATGAGTTTGATAATTCTATTTAGCATTATTGCTTCTCAAACTATTTATTTAGAGGGGTTCACTGGTTTTATATCTATAATAAATGTGTCAAACAAGTATATAACCAAAGAAAACTACTCAAACTAAGGATCATCAGTATTTTTACTAATGCTGTTCTTGTGATTAGGTAATGAAATGGCTCTCCAGAGATGTGAGCATTTCTTTTGCACAAACATACTGATTTAATTAGTGCAGTTTGAAGGATCTGAGTCTGTTGGACAGAACTCCTATTCTACCAAATGTTTTCCAAATGCATTCAGTGTTCCAAGAGGTCCTGCTATCCATATAAACAAATACTTTCTGCAGCTGAGAAGAACTAAGATGATGTTTACCATGTCCTATTATCGTTCGCTGAAAAAGCTTTAGTACAGAAAAGATGCATGCATCTTTTCCCTTATCCCTAATCTAAATTCCTTCAACTTCCTCTCTCCCTATTCCTCCCTCCTCCAGCCTCAAGGATCACAGGAGGATAGTTTGACATACGCAGAACTGGAGCTGGTCAGACCGAGACCGGAGCCCACAGCATCCACCAGCTCCAACCCCACACCCTCCAGCCCAGACACTGTCTATGCTCAGATCCTCTTCCAGGAAAAACAGCTGTAAACACAGCAGCCTGGTACCTCCTGGTGAGGGCAGAGACTCAGCTTTCTAAACTGAGCAGTGGCATCACAAGGACTATATTTATGAACTATCAGTATGGTATTTAGCATTTGTTTTTTTGGCTGTAAGTACATGACAACTGTTAGTAAATGAGGGTTTTGTGTTTCCTTGGCACAGTTCCATTCCAGCACAGCAGTTTTGCATCTTATAATTCTGTTGTTTTTTTGGTTGGCATCGCTGGCCTGTTAGCCAGATGTTTCTAAGAATGCTCTTACTGTTAACTATTTAGTATAAACTCAGGAGGATCTGTGGAAAGAGACTTGTCCAGGCTTTCTTACTGGAGTGTCAGAAGGTGCTGTTAACTCAGTTTTTTAAACGCATTTATAATTACAGTACTAATACACCAAATTAATAAATATATGCCTGAGTCTGACATTCGAGGAGGATAGTCTCTGATCATAAAAATACTGTTATAAATTATCTCTATATGGATTGCACTTTGTCAGATTTGCCCATAATTTGACCGAGATAACAAGCAAAAAGCAGACAAAGACAGAAAAAAAACCCTCCACAATATTAAAAACAGCTGTAGTGTAATATACACAGCACGCAGCACTCCTGCTTTTGATCTCAAAGTCCTTTCAACATGGCACAAACATAACGAGTAAATATCAATCCTGGAAGCAACAGACATTATGCTCAAGTACCCAGGAAAGGTGAAGGGTGTAGGAAGGGTGTAGGCCATTTTGTGAAGGTCAGTGTGTGAAAAATGGGATGAGGACAGAAGTGCATGGAGAGAGATGGTGATTCACATCCACACCATTCTCTCTGCGAGTGGGAGAGATGGAGAGAGGGAGAGAGAGAGAGAGAGAGAGAGAGAGAGAGGCCATCGTTCCCCACAGCTCAGACTCACTGACTAGGATGAACCCATTAATGACTACATTTATTCAAATTAGACTAATTGTAATCATGGTTAATAATTAGTTTTACAGTGCATTATAATTGGGTTAGGCTACAAGATGGTTCTGCCTAGGTGCAATAATTTATTTGATTTAATTATTCTGATGAACCCAGTGGTTTGACATTTCGTATCATAAAACCAGTGGTGTAGAGAGAATGGAGATGGCTGTTGTCTTTAGAGAAGGTCATTGCTTGCTCTCTGGGAAAATTATGAGGACTATTTTCCACTCTATTAAGCCACTCCACTTAGCACAATTAGCCACTCACACAAAGGTTAAAGAGAGAGACCTCTTCCTTCATAACAGAGAACAATGGTGCATGTGCATGAGAAAGCAAGTGAGAGACAGAAAGAGAACAAACCTCCACAATCTAAAATCATTTAAAATGGTTAACGTATTTATTAAACTGCCAGTCTTGTACTTTTACACTGAAAGATTAAGATCAGTGTTTACAAAGGGTTAAGTTTCATACCATCTTTCTTCAGATGGGTCAGATTTACCCAGGAGAGTGTGGTCGAGGCCCTGCAGTGATTACAAGGATTGAATAATCTAATGTGGCTAAACAGGCAAATCTGTCCTTGGTTAACCATAAACGTACCGACAAAAAGCTGTGACAAGCAGAAACGATACATCAGCAAGACCGGAAACACATTTCACATCAACAACAACAACACATACGCTCGACATGACACAATAAACTTGGGGAGGACAATTGTACAAGCTTAAAAAAAAAAAAAGTTAAAAAATCTGTCAAATACTCATGAATGCCACATTACAAAGCAAATTGAAAACACATGAAGAAGAACAAAGGAAGGCCAGTAAACTATTCACAACTAACTAAACATCCTGAATTATTCAAACCACAAACATTTACCAAAACACAACACTACAACCCTCAGAGCATGACAGGCCGACATGAGTGCAGACCGCTGTTTTTACATGTGTGTGTGAGAGCTCTATAGCACTATTTAAGATGCATTTATTTATTTGCTTATTTCTTTATTTCTCTCGTCCAAATTCACCCATCAGTTCTACAGCATTTTAGGCACGATCCTTCATGAGGAAATGGAAAAAAAAAAAACTAATTTCACTAATATTCAAAAGCACAGAGACACCACAGGAGCTTTAGAAAATCTGCTCTGAATAGTTTTATTCAAATTTGTTTACACTCAGTATGTACACAGACAAATACATTATTAAATACTTATGCAGAAGGTAAAACATTCTACATTGTCTGATATGTAAGTGCACCAAATATTCATCACTACTCTCCCTGAATGCACACACAGGACAGCTGAAATCAGCACTTCTTGCTGGTGTCAGACCTGACACACTGATGGATTTTGTATGCAGTTCTTTGATAAAGGTTGTGTTCAAATGGTGGCTGGGGGCATGACTGTGGTGTCACCCCTCACTCACACGTCCAGGTAAAACCTCTGCCCCAGGCATCACCTGTCAACAGGGTAGCATGGTTCCTACACAAGAAAAATAATGTAGATGCATAACACACACAAGATACAATGAAGTATATATGAGTCAAAGTTGGTAAGAATTACTCCAAGTTAGCTCTGAGTTAGTCCACACTACAGGATTAGTATCAAAACACTCATCAATTAAACTATAGCAAAATTGTTTGTCCCCTCTAAAGTTAAATATGGTTTGAAATGACTGAGTAGAGATGAGACTAAATCTCACCTCTCTTTGATGTGAGTGGTTGCATGCTTACTGTACCTGGACATGGCCAGAGCTGTGATAGCCGGATCATTCTTGTAGCGGCGTTGTGACACAGCCCGACTCCTGTTCAGCTCTTGACATAACACCAACTGTCTCTCCCAAGCTTTTACCCGGCATGAACTTTTCACTGTGGATAGATCAACCTTCATTTATTACTGAATCACAGGGCAGGTGCCCGGCCTGTCTGTAACCCTGACCCTGTGGTCCTCAGAAAAAAAATTTAAATGTGCATTAACACATCTGCAGTTTATCTGCGGTCAGCGGGTTGTTAAAGGGAGAAAAATCCCTAGAATATAAATGTTTCACTGTTACGTAAAGGCTTGTCTCGATGTAATTTGCCAAGCATAATACTCCTATGAGGTGACGCGAGGCTGTAACCAACGTATGCCAAATTGGATCTGGGTATTATTGCTTTCTAAATTATACACGCACACACACGTCAGCAGAATTACTCATCAGTGTTTACTGCCTCTATGTTTAATAACTTTATAACAACATAATTCCTGCTAGCCCTAATGCTAGTGAGAGATGGGGTAAGCATTACCGGCTCTCATCTGGAAACCATGCTGTCTAGCTCTGAGATGAGTGGTTAAAAATAATCATCTCACACTTTATCTAATTAGATAGCAATGGGTGTCTTTTGGAGCACGAAACTCTTTGTGCAGCTGCATATTAGTCAGTCTCACAGTTGTGCTAAAGTCAGCCATTCCCATCATCTGTGTTATTATAAATACAATACCTACATACACATCCCATCCTACTGCCAGTAACATTACCGTCTCTCTCTGTTTGGTCTTGCCCTGGGGACACAGGCTCTTCTGGAGGGCCAGGTAATTGTGTTCTGGTGTACTCCGTCTTCCATATCTGTATGAGAGACACATAACAAGTAGCAAAATCAGACATAATTCAACATAATAACAAAACACACTCACATACACACCAGCACACATACACCCCCCAACAACTCAAAGAAATAATAAAGTAATAATACCATTTTTTGTGTGTTGTGCATGTGACATGGGCACCTACTCCCAAGAGGAGCCCAATTTAGAGTTTGCAGCTTTGATTGCACAGAGGCAGCATATGGTTATATTAATCCTGAGCAAAAACAGTCACACACGCACAAAACCTGTATGCTATTATTAATGCGTGATGGACATCCAGGCTGCTAATTGCGAGGCTAATACCAAAGTAATGACTACCAGAGTTGAATACTGTACTTTATATACAAACATTCTTCCACAGTAAATATCACTTATTACACTCACTCAAAAAAAAAACCCTCACCCGTGTGATGCCATCTGCACAGCCAGTGACAATGACATTCCTGGAGTCCCACTCCTGTCGCTGTGTGAAGCTCACACACATGATGTCTCCCTGAGGCCCACAGGAAGTATCAGTGCAGGCCAGCAGCTGCCCCTTCATGGTCCACAGGTAGAGTTGAGGCCCTGCACATGATGCAATCTCACCCTTGAACAGAGTAATGTGGTGTTGAAGCTCATATGCCACAGATGCACAAAGAGGCACAACAAAGCAAAACACACACGAGGAGGATATGCATGCTGTCAACAGTGAGAATCCTCCCTTCCTCATGGTGTGAACTGAATCACAGGGAACAACATGACAGTGAAAATATTACAAAGAATTGAAGAAAGAGATTCTGAGAGAAGGGCAGGAAGAGAATTACTGAGATGATCAAGAAGGGGGACATACAGTGAGCTCATTGATGGCCAGCGCAGAGATGCTGCTTGTGTGTCCTGTTAATTGTGTGATGTAGCTTCTCTCCTCCATGTCCCACAGGATACAGGTGAGATCCCGGGAGCCACTTACTATCACACTGTGGACCTCAGACACAGCCAGGCATGTGACAGAATCTGTGTGACCATATAAGGGCTAAGACAAAAATTCAAGTCAGTGTTATTCTCAATGTGAATATATGTGTGTGTACTGATAAACAGACCGACCAACCTGTTTGAGCTTCATGTGAATGAGTTTGTCCTTGCTGACTGCTACATCCCACACACACACCACAGTGCTGGTCCCTGCAGTGATGATGGTCGTCGGGTTGGGACAGGCAGCACACAACGTCTCACCCCAGTCACACAAACTCTCACACACAGCAAAAATCTAGAGATATACAGATGCAAGCAGACCAATTGTGCCACTGTGATTATTTGTGCGAGAGTGTTTATGAAAATGTTTTAGCAGTTTAGCATATTTAATACTTGGTCATGAATTATGTCCTGCACGGGAAACTTCAGTTGTTTCATTTCAGTGTGATTTATGTTACTGGGTGGAGTTAGAAGGTTGTATAACATTGAAGGCATAGCTGATCTGCTGAGATCTCCAAATACATACCTTATCTGTGGCGTAGTTTCCGAAAGCACAGCTGTTGTCAGGGAAGCCCCAGCTGAAGAAACAGGTCGACACAGGAGACAAGAGGAGCCGGTTTCTTTCCAGGACCACAACCTCTTTCTCCAGACAGAGTATCTGACCCACCAGGCCTCTCGGCAGCTCTGTAGAGGGGTGTACAGTGCTTTTCATGAGTGTGGCTCCATGAGCAAAAAGTTAGAGAAAATTTACACCATATGAACCAATAAAAACAGATGGTATAAAAAAAAAAAGGAGAAAAAGTGACCTCATTCTGCTTTTGAGTGTACCTAAATAAACCTGGCTGACCAAATAAATGTAATGGCTTTTCAAAAACATCACATTAAAGAGTCCGGTAGCTCAGTAAACTTGTAAAGAATTTCATTAAATTGACCACAGAAAACTGGCCAATTAAAACAGCTATTCCCAGGTTACAACAAGCTGAGGCTTTGTCCTAAGGGGACACCTGCATCCTGGACAGTATAAGTTGTATGTGCATGTGTGTATGTGGCAGTGAGAGAGGCTGTAATTGTGCCTATAATTGACCTATTCATGCAGGAACAGGCAGAAATCATTATATCCTATCGCCAGTTCTGCCTTTGAAATCCCCAGAAAGACGTTGTGTCTGCCTCAGTCTTAGCGTTCCACCTCCTATTCATCTCTATCTGCTTATTGATCAGATCAGACACTCTAAGATTTAATATGAAATGTAATATGCAGGAATCTCTCCCAGAGCATTCACAGATTCATCTCCTCTCTCTCAGTGGGCCTATAGGGATATTCAGATTATTAAGTAGGGCTCAGTGGAAGAGTCATTTCCATATTGTAGCTCTAACAGATAGCTTCTGTTCCATAGTGTAAATTAATCTATAGATGGTCTTGCTCCATTTCAATCATTCCCTTGAGACATTGGCATATCTTGTATATAATAATTGACATCAATCAGTGTGAAATAAAATAAAGATGAAACAATGGCTATAATTGATTGAGTTTACTCAGCAGAAAACAGCTTTGTTGATTCAGTCATTTAGAAATATTCGTCTGTTTATAAGGCTATAATATGCAGCTTTTATTTTATACTTAGCATAGCATAAACACTGGAAATGGCCAGCTATCCTGGTTTTCTCCAAAGGTTTAAAAAAGATTAATTATATTTTTTGTGTGTGTGTGTGTGTGTGTGCGCACAAATCGGAGTGTAAAAACTTACTAGCTATGTCTTTGTACTAAGCTAAGCTAACTGATCCCATGCTATAGCTTCTTATACAGGCACAGACATGAATGTGGCAGTAACTGTCTCATCTAACTTTTGACAAGAAAACAGAAAGAGCACATTTTGAACAAGTTCTTTAAGATTAAGATACTGTAGCTCATCTGTTACTGATAAGATCTACCTCTGAATGGCTGCGCAGAGGACTTCAGTTTATCCAGCTTGAAGAAAAATGGAGTTGGTTGGGGTGGTGATGATCCTTCTTTCTTAGAGCCACTGCGAGGTGGATGCGGTTTGGTGAAAAGCTATTGGAAAGACACAGATGACTCACAAAGATTTTTTTTTAAACACACCAATGTACAGAAACTTTCCTGCATCTCTCTTTACCTGTTTGGGAACCTGGCCAAAGTTGCTGACATAGCCCAAGACTGTGCTTCTTACGAGGGGGTCCTTAATAACCTGTCGGCCTCTCTTGGCATAGAAGTAAGGATGGAACGTGTTGACACTTTCTACAGCAGCTGGACCTTGTTGCCGATACCCGAAAATGAGATCAATCCACAGGTGGAGGTGGGAACTCACATAGTCACTTTCCAAGGCCTATACAGTGCAGGAGATTGTTGCACAAAGTAAGACCACCTGGCCAAGTAATATTGCAAAACTACTATACAGTACATGCATTGTGCAGTCTTAAAAGAAGGTAGTGTGTAGTTTCTTCTTGTTATTACAGTGGGACCAAAACCATCAGTCAAACTGTTTACTGTATATGAGAGTTTAGAAACAAGAAACTTCTGAGAATACACAACCAATCAAATTATTCAGGTATGGAATGATTTCTTCCAAAAGTTAATTTAGAATTCAAGAACAGCAGGAAGCTGCACAGCTGTGTTGTAAGCACATCTTCATGTTAAAATTAAAGAATGATTTGGGTAGAATTAGCCTGAGATTGGTTTTTAAGAGTTAATAAGGAAAAGTAGGCATAAGGACCAACCGTATACTTGTACACTATTGTAATAAAGCCACCCTGGAATAACAGAAAACTGAAGAAAAAAAAATCATAAAGCTATATTGTCCTGAGTTAATTTGTCTATTGAAGAAAAAAGAAAAAAAAAAAAACAATCTTCCAAAGTCACTAATTTTATGAGAATGGTAGGCAATATGAGTAGTTCAGTAGATTACAGAGTGATAACCATCATTGGTGCCCCAGGATTGGAAAAGGGAGGGTCACACTGTAAAAATCCAACCAACAGAGAGAAACAGAGCAGGGCTATACAATTACCCCACAGAGGGTAACAGAAGAAGGAGCTGAGAAAAGCGCAAGAACATTCAGTCATTAACCAGCTGGCAGGAAGAATGGCATTATGAAAAAAAGAGAGAGTCCTGTGCCTGCCCTGGACAGTGTTAAATGGGCCTGTTGTCTTTCATTGTCTGTTGTCTACACAGCGGATGCATTTCTTGATAAGAAAAATAACTGGTCTTTGTATATGACAACAGTCAGTACTAAAAGAATTTAACGGACCCAAACTCAGGGAAACAAGATGGACTTTAGAGAATATAATGAATAAGATCAGTCTCCTACACTGTGGTAGAAAGAGTGAAGACAAACGGATGAGCTGCAACAACACTGCTATAGTTCTACTCTTACAGTGGATAGTTGTTTTAGATAAGAAAACAGTGCATCTTTGGTGTACAGATAGTACATCAGCTAGTACTGATATTATTAGGTCTTATGGGAAACGTTTCTGTATGTAATAAACCAGACCGGCCAACTGTAACAGACAGGCCTGGTGAGATCAGGTGGGTCACTGACCTCTCGATGGATTCTAATGAACTCCTGGGGGTCACCTTTGGCCCAAGGAGGCAGTTCCACATCTCCCAGAGTGGTACCATCCTCCATACAGCCTAGAGAGATATGGATATACAGTACATACAACATGCTTGGTCACATCACTGTGTGTCATCATTTGAAGGAGTTTAAAGATACCTTGTGGAGTTTTCTGCCACTGGTGCCACTATGAAGCAACATTTTGATGAGTGGCTCCCTGGTGTTGTTTGTGTGTCATTCCTGTGCTCTACTAGCACACACACAATACCTTTAGAGGATAAGGCTGGTGATGGTGTATGTTTTTTGGGGTTTTTTTTGTAATTAAATTCCATGGAAAGACCAAACCACACATCTCCACTGTTGTCCAGAAATGGTTAAAAACACAGATACTGATAAACAGACCAGTGTGTTGTCAGTTTTGGTCTTTTCACGATATTCAACAGTGAGAAAAATACAGACTGCTACCCCCTAATCCTTAGATGACACATGTACAAGGAAATGAAAATTCACACTTTCAGTGACTCATTTGGAAACATAGAAGATTATATTGAGCCTGACCCAGTTGGATGTGATTACAGTTGAGCAGGAAATCAGGCAGGTAGAAGAATTCTGGGATCAGCTCTCTGACGTCTCCCATGTTGTCTCTGGAGGCCGACTCCCACTCCTTCTTCACACTGTAAAACATCCGCTCTGGGATATCAAACCCTC